GCCCGCCGCCCGCGACAGCGGCCGGGCCGGGGGAGGGGCGGGGCGGGGGCGCGCCCGCGGCTCCGGGCGCTGGAGCCCGCGGGGGGCTCGGCTCCGGACATCGCAGAATGGCTGGGATTGCAGGGCAGCTTGAAGGCCGTCTGGTTCCAGCCCCTCCTGCCATGGCTAGGGACGTCTTGCACTAGACTGGGTTGCTGCAAGCACCGTCCAGCCTGGCCTTGAACGCTTCCAAGGATGGGGCATCCACAGCTTCTCGGGGAAACCTGTGCCAGGGTCTCTCAATCCTAATGTGGATTCCTGCGTTTCCGCAGGAAAAACGCACCTGTAGTTCATTGGGATGCGTGGACGGAGCCGCTGCTGAGTGATGGATTAGTGATGGGGTTACAGCAGGAGCTGCACGTCCCTGCTTTGTGCTGCTCTTCAAAAACAATAACAGTGGGGGGAGGAAAAGCCCGCCACAAGAATTTAAAGTATTTTATTCTTTCACTCTTACTTTATTCATTCGGTAGCCTTACGGACGTACATCTCTCAGCCAGTACCGGAGCGTTTCCCTTGGTTTTCTCTGGTTATCCCTGAGAGACCCCCACTCCAGGAATATCCGCCTCACCACCCTGAGTACCCAATGACAGGCAGTATTCCTCCTTTTCCCTCTTCCACCGAGCCTGACAGTCTCCTGTTGCACCAGCGGAAATTCCAAAATGGAAATAGGAAAATACTGGCGCAGGCTCGTGGTGCTTTAAATTGGCCGGAGCTGCAAACACTGCACGGCTAAATGACGGAAAGTTGCGCCCTCTCCACTGTGGAACACACCAAGGGGCGGGGAAGGGGAAAGCAACAACAACAAGTTTCCCTTTGTTTACGCTCTTATTCCAAAAGCTTCACTGGAAAGGAAAGTTGGTGGCGCCTGGGTGGAAACTCCCTCTCCAAGGAGCGGGGCTTGTTGACGTTTACCCGGGTGCGTGTGTGTGTGCGTGTGTGTGCGCGCCAGGGACGAGCGGCGATCTCCCCCATCTCCCAATCCAGCGGCTGCGGCGGGGGAGCCATGGCCCTGCGGAGGAGAGGGAGGCAGGGATTGAGGAGAGAGAGGCAGGGATCCCCGGGCGCTCCGCGGGCAGGGAGCGCTGAGGCGCCCGGCGCGCGCTCTGCCCGCCTTGCCCGCCCAGCCCGCGCGCGGCTCGGCTCGGCCGTGACGCAGCGCACTCGACGCGCGACGCGGCCAATGGGACGCCGCCCCCGGGGGCGGTGCTGGGCGCCGATTGGTTGGCAGGAGCCGGGCGCTGCGCAAAAACAGCGCAGCCGAGCGCTGCCCGCTCAGAAACTGCTGGCAGAGATCTGAGGAGACGGGCCGGGAGCGGAGCCGGGACGGGAGCACAGCGGCAGCACACACAGACACAGGGGCTAGACGAGAAAGCGGAAAGAGAGGAAAAAAATCCTCACCGCCATCGGCACCGCCGTAAAAGCCGAGTGATGATGATGATGAACGTACTCATAGCAATAAGAGAAGAAAATGAAAGACCTTTGACAGACGAGAGAAAAATCTAAAATCCTTAAATTAAAAAAAAAAAAAAAAAAAGAAAATACCAGGGACATCGGGGAATGAAAGTTTTGGGTAGCTAAGCTGCTCTCTGCCTTTTTTTTTTTTAATATATATATATATATACATATGAAATCTTTTTGCGGGTAATTTTTTTTTTTTTTAATTTCGCGGTTTTCTGCCTTTTCCTTGCATCCAAAGAGGGCATGCCCACCGGCTGTTCCAGCAGCATCTACCCTCCAACTCCCACCAGGAAGACAAACGGAGGACAATCTTGAAATACAAAAATTTCCTCCTTGGAATTTGCTGCTGCTGCTGTCTCCGCCGCCACTGCTGCTGCCGCGGTGCAGTGCCAAGACTCTCGGAATAAATAAAAGAGGGCTACAGTGTGTCTCTAGCTACAGCCGGCTAATAGCTATTTTAGTTGGTCGTATATTTCGAAGATCACAGATGAAGTGGGGACGCCTGTTTGGTCAGCGTGTGAAACAATAATCCCCGTAACAAAAAGGACGGCGATGGGGGAGAAAAAAAATCCTAACATGAATCAGAAGAAATAGTATCTAGCACCCCCCCCCAGCCCCCCAAACCAACCTCTTCCCCCCC